TGTGGCTACCAGGTCAGCTTCATGATGAATGATCCCAGTGACATGGTGCGGCAGGCAGATCCCACTTTTGTCGCTTCAGATTCCGGGACACCAGAAAGACGTTAGTAGCGTCCATGTTCCTAGTAGCGATGCCCTTTGTTACTAGTAGCTTCTTGCTCCTAGTAGTATGGCCAGGAGCCCCTAGTAGCGATGCCCTACTTTGTTTTTGGGGCGATTCTTGAAAGACCATATCCGTTCCCTGACAGATGCAGTTGTGTTTTCCAGGATTCAGGAGCTGAAGTTGTTTGTGCAAAGTGTTGCGTCGCAGTGCTTCGCAGGCAGCTGCAGGTGCACTTGAGCAGCTCCTTGACTCAAAACTGAGGAAGTCTAAGTGGGATATGTAGGAACATGATAATAGGCATAGTCCAGTAAGTGTTTGAAAAAAGACTCATACATTTTTCAGGGACAAGACATCAGAATCGTCACTGGGCCAAACTCCAAACCGAAGCAGAATGGTCTGAGAGACGCAGTGCGAACAAAAGCTTCGAACTCACAAAGAAAGGGCTGCTTTCAGTTCTCCCAGGTTTTGTACTGGATCCTTCACTAGAAAATAGAACATTGGCCGGTATAAGGAGAGCTAGCTGTCTCCAGGAAGCTAGTAGCGGCTTTAGTAGCTACTGAGCTCGAACAAGGTGGAGCTTCCTTGAAGAACATTGAAGACCCCCTCGCATGATTGATTTGGTTCATAGGTTTTTTGGAGGAAGCTGAACATCAAAAGACATGAAGTGCTTGGTACACAGGTGCAGCGCAGACTGAGGCTGGGCCTTCGGGATTCGTTGGCGCCCATCAAGCCGCTGGCGCCCCGCAACACTGTGGGGCTTCGAGCGGCGCTGGCTCCGCCGGACAACAAGGCCTGGGGCTTCGAGCTTCTGGAGGGACGGTGGCCAAAAGCGATGCCCTTGTTTCTAATAGCTTCTTGCTACTACTAGTAAGGCACTTGTTACTAGAAGCGATGCACTTGTTCCTAGTAGCTTATTTGAGGTCCAGAGAGGTTGAGGTACAGAGGACAATCCGCTGACCGACATGTTTTAGAAACACATGTGACATATGCAAGGATGACCCATGATACCTGATCGCGCCAAGAGCCTTGAAGAGTACTGCAGATACCACAGACTGCATCGACCAAGCTTTGGCTGAAGCTTGCGGATGAATTGGCGTTCCAGGATCCAGTGGAAGGCCTTGGCCAGTACTACAAGAACATCATGATGAAAAAGCCGGGCCCCTAGAGCCCCTGTGAGTCATTCGACAGGAAGGCGAGCTGGGATGCATATGGCGATTTTGTCAAAGCAAAGAAGAGCGGTTGCGAAAGGAGTTGTGAGAAAGGTCAGCGTATGAACCTTTTGCCGCTTGATATCAACGGTACAGGTCAGAGCTAATAAAGTGCGGCAAGTGGATCGACGACGAGATCTTCTAGGCCTTGAGATTGAGTTTATTCTAAGGGAACAATTCGTTTTTGTTCTTCCCTGTCCTTCGGTCCATTCAAGGTTAATTCCTGCAAATGCAATGTAGAAGCGTCAAGTGCCAGCACGCGCTGACCACAAGCTCAAACGATCACCTTACGGCATACTTTGATGTCACCTCTCTGGTAAAATCGGACAGTAGGGGACTGGAATGCGCAATCTAGTGCAGGCTTTTCAAATGGTGGGTCCTTCTCATACGTCAAAGGTTTTGGCATGCTTCTGAATCAGGTTGCGAGCTACGAATGTCTCACCGTTCGCTGAGACAAAGGCGAACTTGGCGGAAAGGAAATCTAGGTGCTGAGAGCAGGTTGAGGCTGAGTCTGGTTCCTGCATACCAGAGGATGCAGAGCATTGTCCTGTCAGCCACACATATCAAGGGAATCATTGTAATGAGCTTCAACTCCAGCTGCAGCTGTGGACATTATGTCCTACACATGTTGCGTTTTTTGCGCAACTCTTCCGGTCAGTTCGGGTGGCGCCGAGAGTGTTTGCTTGCCAGCATCGCTAAAAGCGCCTACAGTCATATCAGATTCAGCGAGAGGCTCATGCCGCCAGCACTGTAGACACTGACTATTCACAAGAATGCTTCAAACTTTGGGGTCCAAACAGGGATGAACGAAAGAAAGTCCGTCTTATTTTTGCTGGCCCTGCTCAATTATATAAGTAGGCGCCTACTTTATTAATAAGTAAGGGAGAAGTAACCTACTAGCAATAGGAAGCTCCTATCCAGGACGCTTCAAGGAAGCTGCACCCCCCTAAAGGCGGCGGGGGGGCGCTTCCTCCAAGGAGCACTCGCACTAAGGATTTGGTTCCTAGATTTTAAGGGAAACTTAAATTGTGATTTTAATAACGTACAAATATATATAATGTGTGTGGGTTCTATTGTGCCCACCCCGCATGCACCCTGACACCAGGAGAGCGGTGACAGGAGCGCATGGGACGCGCTGGCCTTAAGGGCTGCCTGCCATGGTCTACTCACACCCCCCACTTCAAGAGGCGGCGATGCTGCTTAGCACTGGCGGCGGATCTGCTTGGAAAATGTTGTCACCCCCCAGCTCCTTGATCCTTTTGGCTTGGCCTTCTTTAGGGCCATGTGGTCTCACCCTGCTCAGTTGCAAGCATACAGCTGATAACCTGTGTGTGGGCTCTATTGTGCCCACCCCGCATGCACCTTGACACCAGGAGAGCGGTGACAGGAGCGCGTGGGACGCACTGGCCTTAAGGGCTGCCTGCCATGGTCGACTCACACATTATATCACATATAACAGAAATATATAAAACTGCTTAAAACTTGTTTGAACCTGTTTGGCGTTCTTTACCATCACCCACAGATCTTTAGTTCGACTCAACTCCCTTGAGCAAATTATTCTTTAGCTCGTTAGAGCTCCTTTTAGACTTCTCTTTAGACCTCTTTCAAATCCTCCTTGAAAATCTTGAAAGCCTGAAGAATGTTCTTAACTAAAACAAATCTTGAAAGAAACATCGTACTCTTGTAGAATGCGGTTTTCTTGTTTGGCCTCTTGGAATTCTCTTTGAGACCTCTTGGAACACACCGAGTTATGTCCGAAAACTTTGCGTCCGGACGGTCCAAGCCTGGGTGAGCGGGCGAGCCGCCGGCCTGGGCGTGATGCCGCTGAACAGTGCCTCGGCGACAAACATCTGAAACTAAAACATTCTTTTTCATCAGGAACAAGAAACTACTAGGGGGTCTTGGCATCGCTATTAGGAGCAAGGACGCTACTAGGGGCTCCTGGCCCTACTACTAGGAGCAAGAAAATACTAGGAGAAGGCATTCAAATGATTAAACGTGGGCGCGGCAAGGCCGGTAGGTCGAAGGCGTCCTTGAATGGAAATCAGTCTGGAAAAAAAATGTGCACTGCAAAATATTCTTTTCCTCAAATATATTCCTTTATGTTTTGTTCAGACCATTCTTCCTTTTTTCGTTGACCTTCAGACCTTTCTCCTTTCGTCCATTTCTTTGTATTTTCTTTTGCTTCTAGGTCAAGACAATCAGTTTCCAGTCTGTGTGAGGCAAAATCGTGGTCCCCTTTGCTCCAGTGGAGCCACCGAAGAGCAAGTATGAGCACGGTCGCCAAGCAGGTTTTCCACACAGGAAAAGCAATTGCATAGTTTGTTGCAAAGGACTGGCCATGCTCCAAGACTTAATGATCTTCAAAGCGTACAACATGAGTTTCATCGCTATCTTGGTTGGAGGGGGGCAGAGCGGCCTTTATAGAGAAGTCCTTCCTTATTTTCTCTACGATTTTCATCAGGCTTTATTTGTTTCACTCTTGAGGTCTACCATGACCATGCTCGAGTTCAACAAAAAAGGTGTCCAGGAGAATCACACAATGCTCAATCGGTCAACTTGGTTGCCAGATGTTAGCAGAGCTTTTGCATCCAAAAGCACTTAGAAAAGTTGAAAGCTTGAGGACAAGACCTTGAAGAGAGATGGCGGAAAACCTCCAAAGCACCTCTATGAACATACTGTCGAGGCGGAGATTGACAGCATCTGACAGCTTTTGGAGTTGATTTCTGTCCAGGTAAAGTGGGCGGAAGATGGAGGCCCCATTGGCAAAGACAAGTTTAAGAAGAAGTGACTTGCCTAGAGCCAAAATCACTTGAACTCATTAATTACTCACTATCTTCTAAGTTCCGGAACCCTTCATCGATTCATCTAGCTTCATCCAGCTTCATATGCGTCGCCTTGTTTGGGATAGGAGTGATAGGAGCACTCGCTATGGCCGAGGTGATTGCTGAGGGCCGCGGCCGAAGTTGCCGACCATCCATGCGACAGCGAAGAGCGCGTGGAAAGAATGCCAAGTTTACTTGCTAGGACAAACGGCATCGCTACTATAGGAACATGGATGCTGCTAGGGGCTCCTGGCATCACTACTAGGAGCAAAGGACGCTACTAGTAACAAAGGACGCTACTGGGATGTGATGGAAGTTCACTTGATGTTCACCGGAAGGATTCCAACACGTTTAAAGCTCGAGTTTCAACACGTTTCAGTGAAACGTGATTGTGTCGCAAAGCATACTTTTGTTGGCTCTGATTGAACGTGCTTCTAGGGCCGATGGCTTCGTGAATGGAAGGCATAGGTCAAGAGTCTCAGAGACTTTCAGAGACTTTCAGAGACTCTCAGCGGGCAGGTTTTCAGATCCCTTTTTATTGATTTCCGCGCAGCTTGTGAGGATTGGTTCAAATCTCATCAGATCATCCGCACTCATCAGTTTTGCGGGGTTGCTTTAGATAAGCTGCTGACATACACGGTAAACAGATGCACATGGAAGATTTCTCTTCTAAACATCTCAAGATTAAATCCATCACAGACTCAGAGGTGCCGACTTCTCCAAGTTGCTCGCGCGAAGCCGAAAAGCGATCACAAAAGCTATTTGAAACAATAAGCTACTAGGAACAAGTGCATCGCTTCTAGTAACAAGTGCCTTACTAGTAGTAACAGGTGCCTTACTAGTAGTAACAATGTTTGCTATTAGAAACAAAAGCTTAGACTTCAGATCAATGGAAGCCATGGCTTGTGGGCGACCTAACCGTTGCCTGCTCGATCTGGGTGCCCACTTGGCAAGAAATTGGTGACCTCGGCTGAGGTCTGTTTAAGGCTGGGAGTCACATTCTTCCTCTGAAGCGGCAGCATGAGAACTGAGGAGTGTTACACTTGTTGCACTTATTCAACAGGAGCTAAAAGCAGGGCTTTGCGACTTGTCTCTGAAATCGTCGAGTGTCTCTTCATTCGTTTGCAGGTGTTTTCCTTCAATGGCCTTCCCTTACAACCCGGATCACCGCGGGTACTCTGATCTGGAATCGCTTTTGCGGGGGGACTTTGATGCAGGTGGGAGTCGGATGAGGGGGCGGTGCGGCGGTGCCCGGTTTGGTGTGGCGAAATAAGAATGTCAAACATGTGCTTCTAATGGCTTCTTGTTACTAGTAATGCCAGGAGCTACTAGTAGCGTCCTTGCTCCTAGTAGCGATGCCCTTTGTTACTAGTAGCTTCTTGTTCCTAGTAGCGATGTCTATGATTATGATGCACTAAGCTTTCAAGCTTTGAGCAAGACGATGTCATACAGTAGATTTTCTAACTAGGCTCGACGAATGGACATTAGGTCCTTTGACTTCGCGATAGCACTTTAACCGGAAGTAGGAACCACATGAGGCACCGCTACTCCATTTTCACCAGGAGCATTGAAGCTTGAGCTGGGCGGGGAGCTGCCTCCAAAGCCTAAGGCCCAGGGGCCCAAGGGGTTGGAGGTGAAGTGAGACAGAGCCCTTTCAAGCGTCCTTGCTCCTAGTAGCGATGCCCTTTGCTCCTAGTAGCGTTCTTCTTCCTAGCTCTTTGGAGCCTTTGCCGTGAGTTCTGAAAAGGTCAGAAGAAATTCAACAAGCACTAATTGAAATTCTTTGCTTTTTCAAGGGAACCTTTGGAACTGAATCTGAACAGATTTGGGAAAACTCAACTGAGCGCATGCTAGCTGCTAGGTGACCTGGGATGTACAGACTGGGCATCGGTCTTTGAAGCCTGCACCCGAGCCACAGGACTGGGCTGATAGATTGTGCGAGTTATTTTACCTCATTTGGAACATGCTTTCATATGCTTTCATCTCCAATCTTAAGACTCTTTGTCACATCGATTCACTGGAACTTTTCCTGTGTGCACAAGGTGCGGCAGGTCCCGGAGCCTGTCCAGCCAGTGCCTTTGCGCGAGAGCCCTGTGGATGAGAACACCGTGGGAAAACCCGGCTACAAGTTTTCACTGCGAGGCGCGGAAGTCGATGGGTAGGTTCTGAAGCGGATAGAAGTCGTTTCCTCGAGACACAGAATTTCCGGGTGAAAGGGAGAGCAGATCATCGAGAAGCTATTAGATGCTATTAGAAACAATAAGCTACTAGGAACAAGTGCATCGCTTCTAGTAACAAGTGCCTTACTAGTAGTAACAATAAGCTATTAGAAACAAGAATTAATTAGCTATATTTTCACTCAGACACTCACATCGCGCAGACTGTTTGGGCTGGAGCCGTTAAGAATAGTTGATTTGGAGTGCAAGTACCTATTGGGTGAGTCTCAGCATGAAATACTGGGAATCATTTCACCGGGAATCGTATTGATTTGTAGTAACAAGCAGCTACTATATAGTAACTAGAATCTAGAAGCTACTAGGGGCTCGTGGCATCGCTACTAGGAGCAAGGACGCTACTAGGGGCTCCTGGCCTTACTAGGAACAAGAAGCTTTCTAGGTAACCAGCACGCCTAATTACTTACAAGTAGCGTTTCTTTCTACTAGCTTCTTGTTATTTCTTGTTACTACTAGTAAGGCACTTGTTACTACTAGCGATGCACTTGTTCCTAGTAGCTTATTGTTTCTAGTTACTCTTCCGACCAATGACGGGACCTCGACGTCCGGTCGACGTCCGTCGGCATCGCTCGACAGGCATCGATCCCTTCGCTACGCGCCGCCTGGCGCCGGGGGAGTTCTATGCCCCGTTCCGACGTCCAGCGGAAGCGCCCAGAGCTAAAGGACATGCCAGCCAGCAGGGGTGCCCAGATCGAGCTCCAGAACCGCTATTCCCCGTGAAAGGAAATCAACCTCTTCCAGCTTTTCACATGCTTTCCATGGCCCAGAAAACTCCGAAAACCTCCTCCATCTCTCATGCTGAGCCACAGCATCCAGGCTGCTGGCAAATGTCAACTCAATGGCTGATGAGCACAAGGCCTGGTTGAGCACAATGCAGCAATGCATTTTGGGCAGTCAAAAGCCACCTTAGATCAGGGTCGCAGATCTTCGGTGAAATTGACATTGACTGAATCGGGAAACCCACTTCAACATGTGGGACTATGGCCCGCCACTCGTGGTAGGCGACCATTGATCACATCATGCAGCAGTGCGACAAGGTGTCGAGAATGAGCCTTGGAAGAGCTGCGCGTTGGAACGTGGGGGTTGGAGCAATCCGGCTAGTATCAAGTAATGTATGTAATGTGATTGCAATGTACTACTCGTGTCGTATTCTTTTTTGTGTAGCAGATCAACCACTTTACCTCAGGCTGGGCCTCTTTGACCTTGGACCCTCGACAAACGAGCATTTTTTCCCTGAGGATGCTCCTCGCGACAGCGAACGCTCTGCGGAAGTCCAACGCTGCCTCGGAGCGGCCGATGCCGAAGATGACGGTGAGGTCCCATATCAAGAAGGACCGAAAGCCACGTGAAAAGACACCGGTGAAAAGACTTGTATTGCCCATATTCCACTGGCATTGACCCCACCAAATACCCCAAATAGCTCCAAGAGTGCCACACAAGCGGGGAGACACTGAAGAGTGGGTGTCTGGACCAAAACGCCGATCAGCCACCCAGTCATTGAGAAGTAAGAACCCCTATGCCTTTCAGCTATCTGGGGAATCACCACACTTAAACTCCGACAGCGTCCGACATGCGACTCCCATCCGAGACCGATGAGTGTTTGAGAGTGCTTGCAAAGCAGCGATCAACATATGTTTGGTGTGATCGCTACTAGAAAGCTTTATTGTTACTAGTAGCGATGGTCTCCAACCTCATAGCGATGGCCTCCACCTAGTAGCTTTGGTCGTTACTAGAAAGCTTCAAAGACCTGTTTATTGTTACTGGTAGCAATGGCCTCCAACCTTAAGTTTTTGAACCAAATTATGAGTGCGAGCGCTTCTTCAAGGAAGCTTCCCCGCCGCCTTTAGGGTGGCGGGTGGAGCTTCCTTGAAGAAGCGCGAGCTATCCTGCGTCCGTACTAGTAGCCTCTAGCCACTACTAGCTACCGTTCCCTTACTTAATGAAGTAGGCGCCAACTTAATGAAGTGGGGAGGAGGGAGAGGCCAAAAAAGGTTCTTGTTAGCTTCTTTTTACGGTGAAACCATTCCCGGTTCATGGCTTCGGTTACGACAGCCGAAGACCAGACACAGTGCATAACGACCAAGACATATGTCCCAAAACACCGAGAAATTTCAATAAGGAAGAAAAGTATGTAGATATATTTTAAACTCGAAAAACTATTTTTAAGACATACCAATAAGGACTGGTGTGTGGGCTGTGTGGGTCCCTCCCTATCAAGCGAGCTCCTTAATTGAAAGAACAGGGGCAAGGTCGAGAAGGGAGGCTCTCCTGTCATTTGTCATCGATACAGATACACCAAATTGGCAGCACTATTTGAGGTCAACAGTTGTTTCAATCTCAATTCCCCCACTTGAAAGGAACTGGGACGGCTGGCCACTTGGTGTTCAGATAGCTGTGCGACCAAGCGTCTTGCGCTGCCGACGTTTTCAGCTTCAGTGTGCTGCAGACTGAGACAACTTAAGGCTCTAAGTGGCTCTACTACCAATGGCCTCTGAAGGTTTTACAAAGGTTTGATAGGACACCACGCCACGTCATCACCACGTTGGCTGCCCAGGCTGGATTGGATGAGGTCCACCGCCTGCTAGACGCACAAGAGCTGGTAGGGAGCCTTAGAGGGGAGAGGCGATCCCTTAGGGAAGTTGATTTTTCTTTAGATCTTCAAACCTTTTTTTCTTTCCTTCCTGTTTTTTTGTAGCTTTAGAATTGACACATGTCTCAAGAGTTGCCTTATGTTGCCTTCAGGTTTGTTGAGGGTCAGTTCTCGACGTTTCCAAAAGGGAGAGAGACCTCTGGAATTCTACAGATTTGGAGTAGAGACTGATCGTTCTGTGTTGCCAAGGACCGCCCCGAGAATGATGATATCCTGCTCTATTGCTCACCAGAGGACCCAAACTGACAGTTTCACCACCTATACATCACATAGAAGGTGCTTTCTTGGGAATCGTTTCACCTGTACTAGTAACAAGAAAGCTTTTCAGTATGTCTTTGAAGCCTCTTATACTAACAAGAAGCTACTAGGTTGGAGGTCATTGCTACTAGTAACAAGAAAACTCTTTAAGGTCTTTGAAATTCTTTGAAGCTTGTTAGTCATATAGCTTTCTTGGTGTGCCGAGAAGTGTGCCCTTCCATTGGAAAGTCGAAGCGATGCTTTGAGCTATGGAAGCTTCTAGTTACTAGAAAGCTTTATCGTTACAGGTGAAACGATTCCCAAGGAAGCTTCTAGTTGATGTTTTGTGAGACAGGAGCGGCAAACAAAGTTGCAGATGGAAGACTTCTTTCTGTCGAGCGTCAAGACGTTTCTGAAGAACGAACGGAGCATCTTGGCTGACTAAGTGTCAGCGTCAGTATTCCACCCCTATTCTCAAGGCGTCTTAGGCAAATGCTTGCCACGTCAACCATAGGGGCCCAAGTCTGGTAAGGTAAGTAGCCGTTTTTTCCCGCAATGCTGCCTTGGTTTAAAGAAAGACATCAGAGTTCCCTTCATATTGCACCGTGTTTTCTCGCTTTTGCTAACTCCAGTTGCTAGCGGAGCTGTTGGCGCTTCAGGGCTCTTTCCGTCGGTGCTTCGGCGCTTTGGTCGGGCCGAACTTGAAGGATACGAGCTCGAATGATTCGGTGAGCCGACATGTGCAGAAGAGGTCGTTGAAGCCACG